AGCAACGGCGTCGGTGGTGGCCTGGGGCCGTCGAGCCTCGCGTTTGTGGTTCCCTTCGCAGGTCGGGGAAGGCCCTGGGGTGCAGGGGACCCGCGGGGCCGCTGAGCCCGGCTCCTCTCCCTGCGGGGGCCGGCCCCGGGCCACGCCGTGCGGCCGAGGGCCTTGTCCCCTGCTTCTTGGATCCCTTCTGGATCGGGCGAGGGCCGGGCGCCCCGGGGCGGCGGGGCCGGGGGGGAGAAGGTCCCTGCCCGCCCGGGGCCGGGGGTTCCGCGGGGGGCGAGTGGCGGGGTGCGGCTGCCCGGGGCGTCTCGGTGGTGCGGGCCGGGGCCTCGTGCCGGGGCGTTAGCGGTGGGGCCCTGCGGGCTGGGGGCGCTGGCGGAGCTGCGGGGGCCCTGCGATGTTTCCTCCCCCCCGTGGCGCTGGCGCAGGCCGCCGGACGCAGCGCGCTGGGTAGAGCTGCGTGCCTCTCGGGAAGCACGGAGCCGTTCCCTTTGTGGCCTGAATTAAACGTCGTTGGATGCTGTAGTGCTTCGGTGACTTCCAGAGCCGAGAGGGCTCCGAGAGCTGTAACCCCTTAGCCTGGCAGGAGTACGTGCGTTTGACCGGCCCGGGCTGCCCGCTGCGTTTTCCCCCTTGTGCCGGGGGCCGCGGCTGTGTCGAGCCCTGCTGCTCTCTCGCCCAGGTACTCTGTCGACATTCCGCTGGACAAAACAGTGGTCAATAAGGACGTGTTCCGGGACCCCGCTCTAAAACGCAAAGCGAGACGTGAAGCCAAGGTGAAGTTTGAGGAAAGGTGAGTCGGAAGCTCGTCTCTTCAGCGGCATCGGCACCCGGCCCTGTGGCGAGGGCTCGGCGCGGCTGTGCCACAGCCTGGGTGAGGCACGCGTCGGACACTTGAACGGCCGCAGGCTTGGGCTGACGTTCGTGGCGACGCTGCAGCCTCGTGCCGGCGCGAGCGGGGCCTTGCTGGTGCCAGAGGACGATCTCCTGGCGTCTCCCTGCCAGTTCATCCGCTGTCTGTCACGGGGCTTGGTGGGGCAGGGCCGCGCTGGCGCTTTGCCCCGGAGCCTTGGGGTTGGCGGTCCTTCTTTTCGGTTTTCTGCTCGGAACCTCCTTCGGCGGGAGGAGCCGCGCAGCCTCAGCGGGACGCAGGGCGGCGGCGGGCAGCCCGCGGCCTTTGGCTCTTCATCGCGCTCTGCCCTGAGCGTGGGCCGCTCTCCGCACGAGGCGTCTGGTGGGACGGCCGCGCTGCTCATCCCTTGGGGTGCAAACCGCCGGAGCGCGGGCGTCCGTCACGCGGTGGCTCCCCGAGGCGCTCGCTCCCCTTGGCCGCTTACAGCGGGTCTGGGTGCAGCCGGGATGCAGAGGGCGGGGGGTCGCCTCTGGGCCAGGCGGGGGCCGGTCCTGCCCGCGGGGGGTGCGGACAGCTCGGGTGCTGTGCTGCGGCTTGCTGCTTCGCGGCCTCCTCCAACCTTTCTGCTCCTCTTTCAGGTACAAGACAGGCAAGAATAAGTGGTTCTTCCAGAAGCTGCGGTTCTAAAGGTGTAACGAGGTTGCATCAATAAATGTTTATTAAAAACCGTTTCGTTTTGTGGTATTAGAAAAACCAGAAAGCGTTGCGGGGCCTTTCTCGCTGGCGGGACGTTGTTGCTTTGTGTCGGCAGCTGGGAAGGGCCCTGCAGCCCAGGCGGGCGCCAGCGCCTCTGCGGAGCGACGCACGGCGCGACCCGCTGTCCTGGGGCGGCTGCTCCCCCTTCCCA